GTATTCTTTCACTGCTCTCCATATTAGCTCTTTCAATAACATTTTATTCCTCTGTCAGCTTGGCAACCTTTTGATTGGTGACCGGATCGATCACAAATGGTGCTTTTACATTCTCCTCAACTGTGTGCCAACCTTTAGGATCCCAAGCTCTGAGATAGACTCTCATTCTACACTTTCAATATAGATAATTGCTCCAATCGAAAGTAGGAACACGATGCACACTATGGCCATGAGCAAACTCAACCGGCTTTGGAGTTGGTTAAGTGAAGCAGGAGTAGAATGCCATGTATGTACTATCTCCATCTTCACCGGATTCGGTTCCTTTTGCTTCCTGCTCTGACCTGATTTCATCATCCCAAGTCACTGTGTAGACTTTCTTCTGATTCTTTTTCGAAGGGCATTTGAGTGCAATATGCCCAAACCCTTGGCATTCATAGCACTTGACTCCTTGTCCTCTCAAATTCTTCTTCTCAGCTTTCAGAGCAACTTTGGGTGGAACAGTTTTGAATTTTTCATTATCCTTATTTTTAGAACTAGAGGCCTTGAAATTAAGCTTTTTTTTCTTTAAATTTTTTAAAAACTGATTGGTAAACATAGCCATCATTTCGGACTCTAGATCAATTTTTATCTCAGGGTTCTTAGCAGTCTCATGAGCACTAGTAAAGGCCACACTATCTTTTTGTTTTTTCTTAGAAATCTGATAGGCTTCATAAGTCTGCAGGTTTCCAACCAACTAATCAAGCTTGAGGTTCTCAACATCCCGAGCCTCCTCTATAGCTGTCACTTTTAGTTGGAACCTATCAGGTAAGAACCTCAAAATTTTACCAACAACTTTAGATTTAACTATTTTTTCACCGATTGTGAAACATGAATTCACAATGTCACTAAGTTTGGCATAAAAATCATCAAATGTTTCATCATCTCGCATAAAAAGAGTTTCAAAAGAAGAGTTGAGATGTTGAAGTTTTGATCTTTTAACAGCAGTAGTACCCTCGTGAATAGTTTCAAGAATGTCCCAAACCTCTTTTGCTACCTCACACATACAAATACAACAGAACTCTTCTGGTGTGACGGAGCAAAAGAGAGAATTGAGTGATTTACTGTTCCAACTCGAATTTTGATAATCAATTACATCCCATTTATCAATTGGTTTGGGGATATCAATACCATTGATGGTAATAACAGGTTCACTCCACCCATAGATAACAGAGTACTAAATTTTCTCATCAATAGATTTTAAAAATGCCCTCATACGAGTTTTTCAATAAGAATAGTTTGTCTCATCAAGTAAAGGAGGTCTATGGGTCGAGTTACATTTGCGAATTGAATCCATGACGTGAATCACACAAAATTACACTCCTATTGTTTTATTTAAAAACAAAGAGTGACCCGTCTACGTGATTCGTAATAGATTTAATTGCTCTAAATCCTAAACAATTAAAACTGACAATCTAAATTGTCTAGCACGTACGAAAGAGATTTAGATTGTTGTTTCACAATTAATAAATCAACACAAACAACTTTAACGTGGAAAAAATCACAGTTGGAGCACCTCCAATTGTGATAAAAAATCACGGGCAAAATGCCACAAATCAATCCACTATGAAGAATGAAAGAATACAAATTTACCAAACAATTTATCCAAATTTAGTAAAATTGTTTTCAACAACTTGTTCCTCTTTCACCAACGCCTTCATCTCGGAATTGATCAGCTTGATGTCGAATCCACAACATCCACCTCGAATCCACGACCACAAGCAGTTTCGAATTCTTTCAAAGACTTCACTCTCAAATCCTCGGAATCCACTGACGAATAACTCTTTTGTATTAAATGATCAAAACACAAACCCTTTGATATAATCCATCCAATTCATGATATAAACTCTCACAGATATCAAAGGAAAACCAACAAAGAAGCTCTAGATGAGAACCCTAATACCCAAGAAAAAGATCTAGAAGTCGTGCTCTAGAAACGGACTTGATCGCAACTTCATAGAAGGCAAGGCAAAATCGCGATCACTGCTCGAGCCATGGAATGGTTGCTCGAGCGATGTGACTTCAACGCATGTTTTTGCATAAGTGTCTTCGCTCGAGCGATGGAAAGTTCGCTCGAGCGTGAAAACTCAAGTCCCAGTATTTTTGTAGTCAGTTCAAACTTTCACTGCTCGAGCGATCAAGTTAAATCCAAGGAATAAAAACAACGCAATAAGACATGTTTGTTCGCGGAATTGGCATCAAAGTAGGGACCTAACATGGGGAATTGAAGGAGTATTGTGGGAATTTGTCCTTCAACGTGTACAACTGTATTTTCCTACTAGATGAATTCAACATGTGGACCAATGGTGATTTAATTACATTCTTGATTTGCATTGGAAACAATAAGGAGCCCTGTAACATCCATAATTTCAACATCCTTATTTTTTACAGTGGTCATTTCATTTGGTATTGGTTTGCATTGGGAACAGTAAGAAGCCCTATAACATCCTTAGTTTTGATAGTGTGCTCATTTCATTTGGCTTTGGTTTGCATTGTAAACATTAAGAAGCCCTCTAACATCCATAATTTTAACATTCTTAGTTTTGACTCTGCTCATTTCATTTGGTGTTGTGGGCTCATCTCATTTTGTTTTTACTTTTCTCAAGCAATGAATTATGCCTGTCACTTTATTTTATTTTATTTTATTTTTTCAATTGATCTTTTGAAGTCTAGATGATGATCTTCTTCATGATCTTGAAGTAATTATCCATTTAACAAAAAAATATAACATGATCTTCAGTATGCCAAAGGCACACCAATTTTAAAATTTTTTTTTTTTGAACTTTTTGGAATCCTAAATTATGTTTGAGATGTCTGATCTTCTCACATTGCTTTTGGATATTTGCATTATGGTAAAAGTTGGCCACAGTGTTGAAGAAGATAATCATACCTGAACATGGTTCTATGTTCCTTTTCTACAAAAGAAGAAGAAGACGTGGTTTGTGTAGGAATCTTGATAACTGCAATAAAATGTGACTGTCATAAAACTTATATTAGGGTAACACTTGCAATTTTGAATTTTGGAGTAGATTCTTTAGTAGTTTTTAGGAACCGGAACTTCGTTCCCACAAGCTATCAGTCTGAGTAAGTAAAGCTAACAAGAAGAAAGAGATAAATGAAATAAAATACTTCAAAATTTTGCTATTCAAAATGCTTGTCTGAATCCTCTAGACAATGAAAATAAACTACGGTTTTGGTTTTTGTCTCTGTTAAGCACAATAAATCACCTTTGACAGCGTGAAAATTAATCTGAAACCCTTGATTACATTATTTTGTGAGGGGTTTCAAGAATAAATCGACCTCCTTCCTCTTTATTGCGGAATTGCTAGGGAGTTGTCGACTCTGTTGTTCAGTTTTTCATTAGTGATTGGACTTTCCAAAGGTAAGTGGTGGGGATGTTTGATAAACAGGTGGCCAAATGGGTGGTGTTCCAGCTTTTTGTTTGGTTGGAATTGGGTTTCCAGATTGGGGGAGTTGTCTGATAGCCCCCTTCATTTTACTTTGTTATTTTAATTGAGTGATTCTTTATCTTTTATTTATTTATTTTTTCTTGGCTGACTACATTATTGAATAGTGTTTAAGGGGTGCTGAGACATACGTTGATGATAATAACAAAAGTAAATTACTTAATTAGTCATTTGTGAACAATATGAGAACGCAAATTCCTTGCATTTTGCTTCCAAGTTGATTGGAGATTGTCAAGCTGAAGAATGTAGCAGAAATGATGTTTGCTTCAGGAAAGTAAATATCGAATATGATGTATGGAATTTAAACTTAATATTAAAGGTAGTGGCCTATTGTATAGATAGAAAACTGCAGGTTGTGTAGCTGTTTAGCTGTAGTAATATGCTAGAAACCCAATTGAAGGATAGAGTTTGATTTGATATAGGGTTTTGTTCTTTGAATGAGAAATTTTTTTCAGTGGGCACTTATCAATCTAGAATCCTAGGGCCATTTGTATTGAATATCAGAGAGACTAAATGCTACTTAGATCCATATCTTTTTTAATTATGTCAGTGTTTAAGAAAGATCTGTTCATTCTGTTTCATGGTAGGGTAGACTGACTATTTTTTTTAGTTGCTATAGTGGGACTGGAAGTTGGGGGATTGAGTTACTAAGAAAGGAAATTATTGGTTACATGGTTCGAGATGCAAATAGGCTTTCTAGAAATGAGGACTTTATTTATATGATTAGATACAAATGAGTGTGTTCTACCCTATGTTAAATGGGTGCTTCAAAACACATGAAGGATCTGTGCTGGACTTGATAACGGGTGTGAGATGTGTTGGACACGTTCCCAGCTGTTGTGTCATAGAAAAGAAAGGCTAGATATTTCGAGCCTGCTTAAAATTCAGAAAAATACTTTCTTAATCAAACCATGATAGCCAAGGGTGCTCAACTTGTCAGAGCAATACCTAATCTGCTTTAACCTTATGTGCCAAAACAAACACTGCACCCTGCTCAAATCCCTACATTAAACCCATTAATTTGCATCCTGTTGGAACTGTTATGTAAATAAGTTTGACCCGAGGATGTTAAAAGAGTGTGTAATAGGGGGTGATATTCTATCATTCCCCAAGCTGGTTACCCTAGCTTCACTGTTATGTAAATAAGTTTGACCCGAGGATGTTAAAAGAGTGTGTAAACAAATTTGAGTCTTGATTATCAGATGTTCGTATCATATTTCCTTGATTTAGAGCAATTTATAATTTCTAAATGAGACTCGGTTACGTTTAACTGCACTACTCAAGAAAGGGAAGAAAAGGGCCCGAGTTCAACATGATTTATAGGTTGTGGTTTTGTCTATTATTGAGTCCTCTCAGTTACCTTGGAAAATGCTGTAGTGATGGTTCTTCTTGGCAAACCCTGTTCCTAGTGATCAGTTCTAACTTCTATCTTGACATCTATATTAAGTAAAAGTTGATTTGAGTCATTTTCCAACAAATGTGTGCATGTGGATACAGGGATTTTATCTGCAACCAACTACACACAACTGCGGGGAACCATAGCTGAAAAGCCTTTTGGAGTTGTCTTTGGCTCCCAACTTTTAGTACGTGCTTGAAGCACAGTTGCACGAAGCTTCACTTCTAGCATTAAAATTTTGGTTCCTTCCTTTTCTTGACCTTTAATTTCAATTTTTCCTTTTATGTGCAATATGTTGGCTCAGGAAGATTTCCAATTTTATCAAATCTGCAACTACTTTCATGTTCATTTTTCTATTTGAGTGATGAAATGCATGATTTGCTTACATTTGCTTGTTGGGATTTATGCATGTGTAGAAGGATATATCTACTCTAAAAAATTGCAATCATGAATCTTGATGCTTTATTAAGTTGACCTGTTCTTTTTATAACACACAGTAGTGGACTTCATGTCTCTCAATATTCCCATGTGCCTATTATATTTGATACCAGTGGAATTTGGTGAGGTCTTTAGAGTACAATTAAAAAAAATTTAAAGTCGAATTCATTTAATGGAGTCGGGGCGTGTTTTCTCTTTTTGTGTATGTGTGTATCTCTTTGGATGTATGTGTGTATAAAGTTTTTAAAGGACTTAGTGCTCATGATGTGCTATGCTATATCGACATTTACAAGTCTTGGGGACTTGATATCTTAGTTTACTCGGGGATATTCCTTTTAAGTTCTTTCTGATGTGGTTTTACAATTTTTAGTAAGTGACAATGTACACTAACTTTGGTTTGCCTTCAACATTCTTGTCTTTGAATTAGATCTCTACAAATTCGCTTCTTATTGGATGTGTTTGGTAGATTAAGTACCCTGTGTCCTTGTCTTTTGAACTTTGTTTTTTGAAGAAAATATAATAACCATATTATGCTTACTTTTGCTACTAGACTATTCATTGTTGGGTTTTGTAAATCTTAGAGAGTTCAGAAGACAAGGACACAGGGTACTCAACACAAACTGTCAACCTTTCTTGCTAAGTTCATTTCCTACCTTTTTCTGGGATTGCTTTCGCGGCAGAATAGCCATGGGGTTGTGTCTAGTGTCAAATTCATTGGTTGTTCCTTTAGTAAAGGAAAGCTATTTTCGCTCCTTGTTTCTACTATTATCCTAGGTTTTGTTGGCTTCAAAGAAGTTGGAAATTTCCAAGTCCTGAAGTTACTAGTTATGTGAAGAATTAAGAAAGATAAATTAGATACATAATTAACCTTTTGAGATTTTTTTGCTCTTCTTTACTTTTTGGGTTTGTGTAGTTCCTTAGTTTATTTTAGTTAAGATATTGCTGTAAGAAAGGGGAATAGTACCGGTTGAATCTGTTCCACCTCAAACACTAGCCACCCATCATCAAAATTCAATTTCTACCTTTCTTTACACCATGGCTACGCTCCTCGACTCTTCTACCATCTTTGCACTCCTTCACCTAATTCATCCATATAATGAGCCTAGAAACATGCTCCTTCCAAATAGATCAAATTATTGAAGAAATGGATGAAACTTCTGTCCAAGAATATGCATTTCATGATAATGGTGCATAAAATATGGGAGATGGTCTTCGGCAGTGAGATGGACTTATTTACCTTTTGATTTGAACATCATAGGCTTCAAGGTTTATTGTAGTACAAATGTCGGGCTATAAAGAAGTTGAGTCAAGTAAGGTAGTAGGTTGTTTAAGCTTCATTTGAAAATGTACCGAGTTTCAAAATATGTTCAAGTTTGGTTTGATTACATAATGAATCTATCTCAAATGAGCTTTTAATGAGCCTAATACGAGTTGATCTCGAGTAACTTGATTTTTTTTATAGTGCATGTAAACTTTTCGAGCCAAGTAGTAGATTGTTCAAATTTGGCTTGAAAACTTTACAAGCTTAAAATTATGGTCAAACTTGGCTTGTTTACATACTATGAGCTTTTAACAACCAAACACGAGTCAAGTTCAAATAGCTTGATTCGTTTAACGTCATACACAAATGGGATCTGCAAGTAAAACAAGCCGGCATATCCTTTGCAAAAGATGCACAATGGCGGGGGTCTCATGCGTTGGACTGGCAAATTTGATTCGCATATGCTTTCTATGAGCAAAGAAAATGTTTTCGGAGTGTAAACTGGGCATGTCATAACCACTTGGGGTGGTAGTTCAGTGGAAATCCGGGTTGTCCCCACACAAGGCATCTTGGGTTCGATTCATGGGGGTTGCAAACTATGGTCTACTTTGCTCCTTTGTCGCACGCCTTGAAATTTTGATATAGGGTTTGTTTAGGCTCCATTGTTGTACTAGTGGGGGGTCCCTTCCTTTGAATTAGGTTAAATCTGACTATTAACTTGTAACCTCGAGGTCAGGGACTTAAGAACCTTCCTTTGAATTAGGTTAAATCTGACTATTAACTTGTAACCTCGAGGTCAGGGACTTAAGAAGCTATGATGATCGCATGGAGGTTGTTGTTGTTGTTGTTTTTTTTTTTTTTTCTCAGTTATAAATGAAAAAATAAACAAAAGAAAATAAAATTAGGCATGTCATGTGGGACTTATGTGATTGGAAGGTGTCGCTCAAGAAGCTTTGACTGAGAATTAGAGTTAATATTAGCTACATCCACCTATTGTCCTTGGTTGCTTCCAGCTCACCATTCTCAATCCTCTCCTAACTCCAATATTATATGCAACGCCACCTAACATGAGAAATTGATCACAACAAAGAGGAAATCAGTCAATATATTCTTCCAATAAATTAAAATAAAATAAAAAAATTGAATAATTTAAAATTTAATTATGCTTTCTATTTCTTTTATTGGGAAGTTTGTTTAAATAAAGATTTGTTGTGTACTGGCCTTCTTTGATCTTGTTGTGCAACAAATAAACACTTCCCAAAACACTACTTATATTTTGCTGGTAAGGACCTTTTCTTTAATTAAAACATATGATAGTGTGTTGACTATTCTCTCTCTCTCTCTCTCTCTCTCTCATACACAGTTAGAAATATGGTGTAGTGGTTTCATTTGTTTTGTATATGCAAGTTGAAGTGTGGTCAAAGCTGCCTTTGGGGGTCACATTCATCCATCAAAGGTTTTAAAACTAGCCACCACCCAAACTCATTGTCAATTGGATTGAAATTGCCGACTTAGCCTAGGGCCCCATGATTCAATATTTGGCACCTAAATAAAAAGCTGAAGAAATACCAAACTTTAAAAAAAAAAAAATACAGAAATACATGTGTATATTAATGCAATGTAGCAAAGATGACAGTTGAGCAATGATCCCTCGTGTTCGTTATGTTCTCATTACGATAACACAACCTTACATGTTCTTAGGGATTGACAAACAGTCCAAGAAATTTTGGCATGAACTTATTCCCCATCACATTGGATGCTTTTTTTCTCATTGTCTAACGTCGATGGGCTGTGTCTCGACAGAATGGCCAAATGGGGGGTTAATTCGCTCGGATCAAGGTGCTTGGGTTTGTGGATTCAGGTATCATGTGGGTCTTTCATCTATCCTTGTTGCAGAATTATGGGGTATTTGGTACTGGTTTCAGCTGGCTTGGTCTCAAGGTTATCACAGCATTATCATTGAATGGGACTTTGTGGAAGCAGTCCAAGCTGTTCAGAAAATCAATTCTGTGCACCCTAATTTCAACCTTTGTCAAGACATTTGGGACTTTTTGAATAGGGAGTGGCAATGCAAGCTTCATCAAATCTGGCGTGAAGCAAGTGTTTGTGCAGACCTCTTGGCGTGAACTATAATGGCTGCTCCTGATATGTTAGCAATGTTTCTTGATAGTGATAAATAGAGGGTTGGTTCCTCCAGGATTGTTAGGCTGTAATTTATGTTTTTTGGGCTTCGGCCCAACTTTAACCCATAATAATAATAATAATAATAATATAGATGTGAAAGGAAAATAATTGTACCATCAAGGTGGAAGATAAGACTTAAAAATTGGTAATCATAGTGCAAAATTCAGATGAGGTACATGATTAAAAAAATTCTTGTAAAACAAAAAGAAAATTCAAACTATAAGGTTTGAATGTGATTTTTTTCTTTGATTAAATAAAAAAAATAAGATAGGAGAGAATGACCAATCATAGCAATTCACATTGGTGTGACCAGAGGAACTCTTATCTGTTGGGGAACTGAATAGGAGTAGGAACCCAGGGGTGAGTGGCAACCTGGTAAGGGCCTGTGGTTTAAGCCCCTAGGTCCTAGGTTCAACTCCCCTCTGGGCCAATCTCCTGGGCGTAGCACAGTTGGTTAGGAGGTTGACCTCAAGGATGCCTTATCAGCTACTTGGTATGAGTTTAATTCTCCCCCCGCTGTGCGAGTCCTGACTTAAGCGGAGCTTGCCTTGGGAGGTCGGGATAAGCTTCCAGGTTATAGTCTCTTACTCGGAACGGACAACAGGACACCCTGGTGATCTCCTCATTCTTGTAAAACAAAAAGAAAATTCAAACTATAAGGTTTGAATGTGATTTTTTTCTTTGATTAAATAAAAAAAATAAGATAGGAGAGAATGACCAATCATAGCAATTCACATTGGTGTGTACAAAGGAACTCTAATCTGTTGGGGAACTGAATAGGAGTAGGAGGGTCTTGGATAGGTCTAATAAAGTATGGTATTATATATGAGGAACTGCAAGAGTCTTTAAGATGGACTTAAAACATAGCATGATACAAGTCCAATAAAGTGGAAGTATTGTACATAAGGAAATTATAAAAGCAGGGTAGTAGGAACTGCAAGGGTCTTGTACACAATTTTTTTTTTTTTTATAAAAGCCTTCAAGATGGAGTTAAGACATAAGTTGATTTCAGCTTTCACTAGGGGCCTAGCAAGTAGAAGTAGGGAATATAAGGTGGACAGAAACTGCATCGCCTCCAAACCTGTGGGAATACTCTTAGCTCCAGCTCATAAGAATGATCTCTCATGTGATGTGTTATGCCAGCTTGAAAGGCAAGTACACAGCTGGCCATGTGTTGAGCCAGCTGTGCTCTCTAGCTTCCTCCATTTTGGTGTATAAATGGAGAGGCTGAGAGGGGAGAAAATGAGCAGCAAACACAGAGAGAACACCAAGAGTGAGAATGTATGTGAGTGAGTACTGTAATCTTTCTCCGGATAATATATCGCTCTCCGTGGACGTAGGCAATTGCCAAACCACGTAAATATTCTTGTGTTATTGTGTGGAATTGATTTCTGGTGTCCCAATAGTCCTAACAAGTGGTATCAGAGCCTCGTCGGTCACGTTTCGGAACAAAAACAGAGTGTTATTCGAAACTGCCTAGAAATCAAGTTGCTCGAAATCCAGTTTTGAG